CCACATGTGTTCATACAAATGTCATAGATATGTGAACATTATTGCTATGCTAACAAATTATAGAATGTCCAGAACATTTCAAAAAATTCCACATCTCCTTATCTCTTCAAGAAGTGTTGTCCTCCCATCATATCTCTTAGAGCGGCACAAGGAATTATATCTGGTCCTGACATGTTTGTTCTGGCCTCAACCTTCCCTTAAGCCGCCGAGTTACCGGAGCTGGTGACAAGCATGTTTTCAGCACGTATTTTACTCCAACAGCCTTGACTATAACGTGTATTAGAGAGGAAACCCAAGCCAATGAGGGAAGCCCTAGACTGGGGGTGCCTGGACGGAGATTGGTTGAGGCAAGTAGACGTTACGGAGGACCACAGGATGAGTATAAATGTCACCGTTAACTAGATAACTGTACCCGCGTTAGCTCTGCTATATTTTCAGCAAAATAATAACTTGGATCGACAAACGTGTGCCAGCCATACTGTTCCTCGTCTGGCAGAATTGAACTGTACCGCCATCAATGCACTTGAGGCTGCGATACATCTATTGTAAATGCAGCAGTAAACTTGTCCCTGAAAACACTGGGCTTATACAAATAGACACCTTTGTGTGCTGATTCCTGAAGAATGAGCCTGTTCTGGAACCAGAACTGGCATTTAGCAGTCTTTTTTCGTCTCTGTGCTAGATCCATTGTGTTGAGTCTGCAAGTTGTCTCAGCCTGCACATTCCAGCTTTGTCGTGCATGCTTAAGGACACCTGAGTCCACGCGAGGCCATAGCGAGTGTCTTCTCAAAGAAGACAAAGTAAACACCGAATCGAAGTGGGCCCCCATTTGTGCCGCATAAAATGGGCATTTCGGGATTTAAGCCTTAGCGAAATTTCACAACTTAGTCTCTCCTCAACTTGTTATTCGCAGACCAAGTGCAAGCGCATCAGGCACCCATCAACCGATAGTGCGCGGTCACGCCTGAGAACGATTCTTCGGTATGGTGACAACAACTATTGGGACGTTTTAGAGAAAGCCTTGAAGTCTCGCATTTCTTCAAGCCCTGCAGGATATAACTTGAGTAAAGTGGGCCAGCATTCGGTTATTGGTCATAGCCGAAAGGCAGCACCAAAAATTCACTTTGTTTAGCGCCCAAGTCTGGCACCCAAAAAACAGGCACTCAGACCCTGCCTTATATCCCATCGCATCCATACGTCACCTCATTTTGTAGGTTTTTAGCCATTTCTCACACTCGTTTCTGAAATTCCACGTTTATTTTGTCTTCATTTCTTCTCACTGTCGAACAGTGCAAATGGTTTCCGACCTAAAGTCGCAGAATTACGGGATTCCGGGCCGTCGAAATGCGGCATCCAGGTCGCCCAGTCATCCCTCCCGTCGCACTACCGACTCTCAGGTTTCGTATGGTCAGCAGCATCGCAAAACTGCCTCAAGCATGGATGCGGTCGGCACTCAGGACAAGGCATCAGACATGAGGCCAGATGCAGCAGTCATAACTTCTCAGCTGCCCGAAGTCAGCCCGACCGGGGACTGGAGTATGGCGCCTGGGAATCCCAGACATCTATCCACACTCTTCTCGTGTGCCAGTTCCGCTTTGCCATCGCCTCGCGCTTCGTCGCCCTCTTCCGCATCTTCGCCCAAAGGTACAATCCAATCTCTGCCATACAACTGCGTTACTGGCCTATTAACTGCTGGCTCGATGGGAAAGTGCAAAAGTCCCCCTGAAAGTAGTCAACTCACTACGACCAGCGTCGACAATGGAAATTGGAATCCCGTGCCCAAGCAGATCGAGTTAGGTGGATATGCACAAAGCTTCCAGAGAACATGGCAACCTCATAATGAAGCTGTTGCCGCGCAAGAAGCCCATGATTGTGACGTCATTAACATGCATTCCGCACATCCTGACGCCTACCGAGGCACCCTTGATCACGCAGGAAGGGGACGAGATGGGAGGAGACGATATACGAATTCTTATGAAAATCTCGACGATGACGGAGCACCAAAGTGCGGCAAGCGTCCCGTAGATACGTGCCTGCTAAGCAGCAACTTTCGATACGATGATCAGCAAGAAGACAATTTGCTGATGAGTCCTTTGATGCCATCGGCAGAAGGCATCAGAAACCTTCATCTCGAAGGTTCAAGATACACCGAGGTAATGCCAACGACAGATCTTTATGGCAATTATTGTCAACTAAAAGATATGAAAGACTTATTCTGCATTGTTATTTATTTTTCGTTTTACAAGCAGGTTTTCGAGACTACCACTAGATTGTGTATATGAAATCTACTCAACCTATTCCGTTTAAGTTGATAAGGGGACAGATAGTTGAATTTTTCCACAAGGATATGAGTGACCTTGCGTTTCCAATGAATTTCTTGTTTTATTGCTTCTCTGAATGTATTTTTATTCGGCCAAGAGTCGACCGCAGTTTCGACCTCGCCTAGATCTCATCAACATCCCTAGCGGGTCTCTAACCATGGCGGTACAGCGTATAATCTCGACACGTTAACGATTACGCCATATTGCCACGAGCGCCCTTGGGTCACAGGACAGATGTGAATTTCGAGGAAGGCCAGACATTTTCATATATCACATTCTATGGTGAGGTTGTCGATGAAGCTAAGTTATATTTGCTATAGCTATTGACTACATTACTTATTTTTCGTTTGTAAGTAGGCTTTCGAGACTGCCAGCAAATCAGATAATTGAGGTGGGTTAATTCTATTTCGGTTAACTCTTGTTGAGAATACCTTTTGGAAAAACATAGCTATGTGAAATTCAGAGGAAACGTAGGGTCTAGTCAAATCATTGCGCGCAACTTTATCTTAAAAGAAATGAGATGAATAAATCTCATATATTGGTATTTATTCTTTAATTGTTTTTCATGTAAGGGTTCAATTTTTGGGCCCAAGGCATCAACCCCTCAAATGATAAGTCACAGACTATGAATGAGGCAATCATAGTGAATTTTAAAGTTACTAGGCTCACAGTTGAGTTTGGTAGGTAAATTAATATTCTTTCGAGCTTTATTGACGATACCACTACGACGACGGAATAGCGTCCTGACTTTTTGAGTATTTACCACCCTTATAAATAACTTTATTAAATTTTGAACGGAGAGCGGATATTCGAAAGGTTCGAGTTTCTGTGGCAGGTTTACTTAATGAAATTATTGTATACAAAGTGCCTTGTATGTGACAAAGTAATCAGTTACTGGGCAGAAACCTTGCTGCTCATAAGAAACTGAGACAGAATAATCTGGCCGAATCTCAATATTTTCTATAAGTTTAGTATTTCATCTGCAGACGAAAACGTCTGTTTATAAATATGGCTAGTAAACCAGTAATAAAAGCCCCCACAAGCTTCCTCTCATAGTATTACCGTTCGAATAAAGGTAATTTGTTTAAAAACACCCAGCGAGTAATTTTGTACAATAAATATTCGACCGGAGAAGGGATTGAGGGACATAATATGATTACCCCTGGAGTATAGACAACAATCAGGCCGACTGTCAGCCCCAACGACAGGTACCAGATGATTCGCTCTTAATGTTTCAGCACCTTCTAGACAATCCAGCAAATTTCGAATAATGGAGGACGTGGAGAGATTGCATCGAATATGTTCCCTATAACCATCTTAGTAGAAATTAAAGGGAGAAAATCATATGGATTGTGTGGTCATCTGATTTTATATAGAAAAGAAGAACGACCGCTGGGTATAAAAAAAGGATGCATGCATCTTTACACTTATTTAATACTATTGTAGATTTTGCATAAGAGCCTTAGTCCCCTTTGGTAACATAATATGGTGTAGAAATCGCATAAACCCCACGATACAAAACTGCTTGGCCTAGGCTTGGCTAGACAAAGGCTTTATCAACCTATCTGAGCTGTTGTTTCGACTTTGGCCTTGGTCTCATCAGTACTCCGGTCTTAATTCGAAATTAGATCATGATCTTCAAGTGACAGCCCGTTGCAACTCCGCCACATTACATAGAGGGCCAGGGCAGATTGAAATTTCAAGGCAATCTAGGCCTCTCCCAAGTCACATAAAAGTTGGACGGCTGTCGATAAAGGCAAGCTTGTATTTCCATTGCTATACGTGCATGTGCCACTCTAATGGACAACATTTTTTTTTATAGACTGCAATGCTTTCGGTAGAACCTGAAGAACTTTTCAAGTCATTCGAGGATGAACCTCACAAAAAGGTGGAAATAAGGTGGATTTTATTCAAATCGTGTAAATCACTTAAATAAATTTTACTAAGTGATCTAAGTTGTGCCCGATAAGGCCAATATCATTTGGCTACACTATGACGTTAACTTTTAGAACACAACTCAAATTGAAGCTCCTACCAAATACATTGGAAGACCTAATGGGGCCTCCAGACTTCTATTCACTTGTTCCTATTACAAATTATCTCTAGATGCATTCAAAGTAGGATAATTTGAGTCAGTAAATTAAAGTTTATTTTGAAATATAAAGTTTTAGTACAGAAAAATTAGTTCAGATGCATGTTAGGCCTCAGTGCTTCACACTCTGCAGTCCAGGCGCATTTGTCTAGACAGCTCTACTTCTGCTGCAAACGTCAGTTGACTTGCACAAGTTATCAGAGCTTCTATTATGACAATATGTTTTTGATATGATTAATAGCCAGTGAGGCATTATATAACAGGATCAAACACTCAAGGCAGAAAGATGGGGAGGAATAAATTAATCAAACAGTGTGCTTCGACCACCAAAGATAAAGAGATTGAAGTTGCCTCCGGAACGATAGACTTACTAATGACTGTATACCGTAGCGGGGTCAGATAAGGTCGGGATATTTAATATGCTTTTATAGATATAACCAAATTCAGAATAAAAATTCAACTATGTTCCATCAGAAGATGCACATCATTCAATCTGTTGTCGCAATCTAAGCCTTCAGATCAGTTACTTGGGAAGTCAACAGTGGTTTACATCTTTTATCTCATGCACAGGAATTATGGCGCAGCAGCTGAAGGATGGGCAGTTTACAAAGTACTTAGTTTACCCTTACAATCATGTTGCTTTAATAATGAGGGCAATAATGCTTTATTTGCACTTGGCATCCTCAGTATTTCCTACAAAATATGAACTGCAAGATGAATTTATTTTAATATAAATATATAGTGCTACTCTATATATATTGTAAGTAGTGATATATCTTTTCTATATATTATAATTCTTATTTTGTGTTTATTTTTAGCTACTGAATTTGATTATGTCGATGGCAATTTTGTGTACTTTTAAGCAAATTACTAGAATAATTCTTTAGAAGAAGTGAATTATTTCTTAGTACGACCTTACAATGGGCTAAATTAAATTAGCTATAAACTACGCTATTTCAGAACTGCGTTTATTTCGCATGAAATGCACTTCTTAATAGTGAACATTTAACCGCATACTTAATTTAGCAGGTCCTATTCTGACTCACCTAAGCTAGTTTCAGCCCCCACCAAAGCCTAGGTTTAAGAAAGCAACCAGCTTGAATCGCTAATTTGATGGTAGAATATGTGACTTTTCATAGACTTTTCAGGATAGTGGGCGACAACAAGGAGATTTCATTGATTGGCTATAAACTAGAAAAATATGAGAAGGCTTGATTTTTGCAATGGATTTCTCATGGTCATACTTCTCAAAAAGTCAGTATAATCTGTGATCAAGTGCAGATTCTTCCTCGCTTTGTTTTTTCTTCAGCATCTGCTGTCCGAATCCTGTGGGGATGCTGATGAGACGGTAGAGTGAGTTTGAAACTATAGTATGAGAGCCGGATGAGAGCAGCCCTTTAAAGTTCATGCAAAAGTGAGTGAAATCTCTGCAATTAATTATGGGAAGATTCGCTCTAATATCAATAATAAGACAAACAAAACTGGTTTCTTGATAGCCGTGAAATAAAAACGGTTATCTGCGACATTAGAACTATTACCTAACACAAACTAAATATCGGAAATGTTAAAATGCTAAACTGATGGTTGAAACCAATACGCATCTCTTGGATTTAGCCAAGATTATTCAATTTTAATTATGCTTCTGTATTCGTCGATTTGTTAAGTGTTGTCTCGGAGAGACGCGACAAACCCCCGAGGCTCCTGAGCAGCACTCCAGCTCCATGACTAGCATCACGGCCCACAGCACGGCAAGCGATGAGGGAGATTTTAGGCTATCCAGTCAAAAGACTGGGCATGATGGGTTCGAAAGTGAGACAGGAAGCACAGTGGCCAACTCTTCGGTGTCGCAGATCAGCTGTCTGGAAGAGGAGACTGACATGGAGGAAAAGGAAGATCAACGAGGAGGGCTTAATGAGGAGTGTCCAAGCAAAGAGAATGGTGATGGACCAATCGGCTGCACCACTATAGGTGATGC